TGTTATTTTAACAGTTAGATCTAAATAAGTGAGTCTGATCGTGAGGCTATAATTGCTTCAATTTGTTGTGTGTACATTAGACGGGGGTGTTTAGAGAAGAAAATGTTCGCTTGTTTAATAGTAGTATAGATTACGTGCATCCAGCAACATGGAATTTTATATCCTTCCTTGCACATTCAGAATTGCAGCATCGTGCAGCTGCAGGCTTGCAGCAGGTTGGCGAGCGAATGGTCATAGCGGAAAGATAACGGGCATGCCGACTTCTGTGAATGTTCCATTCATGTAGACGACTACATTTGCAAGATCAGCAAGATGTGTGTCTTTTCCTGGATCAATTTTTGAGAAAATCATCATTTTGTTTAGCATTAGTTAAATCTGTTTTTTGATCTGACATTTTGTACTATTCTTGCATCACCAGACCATAGTTTGAGAGATGTGAGAACACACCTCAATGGGTGACATATTATAATTACAGAGACTAGGATAATTACAGAGACTAGTTGTGCGTGAGAGATGAGCTGCATGATGAACGCAAGATATAATTTGCTAACAAAAAAATAGATATTGGATAGATAATTGTAGGATAATTGTTGATTATTCTCCACCCATGTTAATTATATTTGGATGGTTTGCAGGCTAACCGGCCTAAACTGATCTTGAAAAACAAGTATTGAGAGCAAAGTTGGCAAGGGAAGAAGTATCAAGCTGCAACCACCAATAACCAAAGAAGTGCCACTTGCAGCCTTTGGTGAGTCTTATCGTAACTGAGGATTTGATTTTTGTATATCACTGTCTGGTTTCTTTTGACTACATTTTGAATATCTAATTATTTGTTTCTTTCGTTACATGGTAATTTTTTAACTATATTTTAAATACTTGGAAGGTTGCTTTGGTTTGCAATTATGATTTCAATGCCTTAGTTTTGTAAAAAAAAATACTGATTCGTGTTGGCTTGCGATATTTAGGCCAGGGTCGATAAAAAAATGTGCCTACTTCTGAATCATAACTAGCAACTATGTTTCTTAAATAATTCTACAGCTACTACTTAAACTTTGCACAGACATTTATGTTCCGGCAAACTCTTTTCCCGAAACCAAGCGCAAACTTAATCAGTGGGCTGTTCACTTGGTATACATTCTCATAACTATTGATGACTCTCCCGAATTATTAGGGGCCCAATTTTGCACGTAATAGTAATCCTGACTCCTGGCTAGTATTACTAATGACAATCCTAATGACTACTCAATAAACTTGACGAATTACTAGCTTGGGGATCACCCTCAAGGCCTCACCCAACCATCTGGTTATTTACCCTAAAACCCATCTGTTTATTTAGTCGCCGTTTTTCTGTAATATAGTTTCCTTTTCTGCAATGTCTTCTAGCACTAGAATGTATTACTTTTGAGTTACAGTGAAAATCACTTTTTGATAGCATGTAGTTCTCCAAACAATTGCGCTGCCAACGTGATATATATTATAAAGTTTGCTTTCTAATTTCGAATGCCATAGAGAGCCTAAGTTCCAATTTTGCACTGGGACCCTGTTTTATTCTTGGGTACAGCACTGCACACGACACATAACAAACATGTACAAGAAAATAAAACGGTGCACAACCTGCATTGCCACTGGATTGCTAGTAATTAATCCCTCCCTGCAGTTTTTGAATGTTTTGTTTACATTACAGCAATCAAGAGAAATTATACTACACCAAAAGATGACTATTGGCATATATTTATAGTGATAGGTTACATTGATTTTCCTGATGATCCATACATTGTGCACAATCTGTTCTTATGAGTACATCCACACATTGTTTCTATGCCTTGTGCAATGCAAAGTACAGGGTAAAACACATGTGTCTTTTCATTTGGATGAGTTGATTTTCTTTTTCAACCCATGCAACTTCTATGTTTGGAAGATGTGTTCTTCCGAGCTGATCTATTTGGCCATTACCATTTTTTACAGGTCACCAGCATGCTGCCTTAGTATCCACAAGTTCCAAGATGTGTGTTTGGTGAGCTAAAAGGATCTTCTACTGGGATATGTTTCTACCTAAAACCCGATCGTATATTTTGCGCTTTTGTCTGTGATGTAATATTTTGACTTATGAACCTACAACTGTATGCATGTAGACCTGATGGATGGTTGTGCTTTTGGTTGTCCTAGACTTGTGAAACTATATATGTATGGATTATGTATGGATGGAGACTTGTGAATCTATGGATGATGGATTGCTCATAAGTATATGCACATATTACCTCTTAAGTGTGATGCAATCTTTATTACTGTATGCATGTCTGTTTTATATATAGATGGCACAAAATGGACTTTAGATAATAGTTGTTGAAATACATGTATGGGAGACTTGTGTGGTCGGAGTGGACTCAAATCCAGGCAGAATAGTTGTCGGGAAATCTTATAACTACCCTGAATTGTCAGCCTGCCGAGGAAGAGCAGTATGCCGGTAATAATTCTAACTGCCGGCAATGGTATGAATATGAAGGGCGGAGGATCTGTCGGGGTTCACACTAACTGCCGGGAATAACTTTCCCCGACAGGACTTTCAAGGGCGGTTTGTATTTGCCGGCAATTAGACCGCCTTCAATGGCTACTTTTCGCAGCAGATGGGGAGAGGAGTGGAGTGGAGGTCGTCCGGTGTTGGGGAGAGGATGGAGGTGGGCAGCGGCGGCCGGAGGCAGGGCCAGTCGACGAACACCCATGCGGCGGTGGTGATGGCAGCGTGTGAGGAACCCTAGCACGCACGAGGGGCTAGGGACAGGAGCGACTCGTCGTGGCGTTTTTCTTTTGGACGGGAGATCAGGAGGAGTGGTGTTTCCTGCTGGTTTTTCCTTCTGCAGTGCATGTGTAGGGTGGGGAGGGGGCTGGGAGGGGATGTAAAATAACCGGTTGAAAAAAAACAAACGAAAATGGTGGGACGAAAAAAAAATGGACGCAATCCTACCAACTGCTCTATTATGAGTAGAGAAAATTGATGCAAGTATGAGTGGACACAGAGGCTAGTGGTTATTACCCTCCTCCTTCAATAAAAAGGAAATATGAAAACTAGTTTGTGGGAAAAATATTATTGGATGTACACATCAGCTAGTAGCCATAATAAAAGACATACGAACATCAGATTATAGGTGATTTGTCAACTGTTTAGCCTATCTAGACTAATCAGAACTTTCTATATGTATCACCACTCACCACGTATTGTTAGTGACTTGACAATATCAGGATTGATACTGCCAAACATGCATGCATGGAAGTCTTTTCTTGCAGATCACGTGGATTGAAAAACGATAATGAATTCAGTCCACCCCACTGTACACTTGTAAGACGAGGAATTTTCCAAGTCTCTCAAGGGTATGTGTGGCCACATGTAATTGTGTGGCCACGTGTAATAGTTGAAAAATCAAAGGTCAAGAGCGTGCATGGAATAAGATTGGAAATTCATGGTTGGCGTGCAATAGATGTGATGGATTTTGGAAGTTGATTCCAACATCTTGCTTGAAGAAGACGTGTACTATCCCTCCAGTCCAGCTTGGAGCCTGAAAAAATAACGGTATCGAGGGAAAAAACTTGAGGTGGATACATAAAGGATCTTGATGCTCTAGCTAGGGTTGTTGTACAATACTAGCTTAGCCTGTGCCGCGGCAAGCCGCACCCAG